TGAACACACAGGCAGCCTGCAGGATGTGCCCCTGGGGCGGCGGGCAGGCAGTGGCCACGTGGAGGGCGGGGCACACATCTCTGCCCCCACCCTTAGCAAAGTCATTTCCTCTGTGGCCAGCCCAGCCTGGATTCATGCCCCGCCCACTGAGAGTGAGGCCCACCGGGCAGCAGTCCCACCACCCCTGACACCCCACCCCAGAGGAGGCTCTTCCTTGTCTGGTCTCCCGTCACCTGACCAGTCAGCCTCACTCAGTGTGGACGGGGCACCCCCTGCCCCGCTGCTGCCCAGCGAGTGTTTCCTGTTTCTGTGCGTCTCTTCCCCCCAGCAGGTTGGCACATTCCAGGAGGGGCCACATCTTGCCTTCTCAGGTGTAATGTTAAAAGTAGCTCTCATTTGTTTATTCGTTTATTCCACAAAAATTCATCATGCCGGAAACAGGAAGGTGAACAGAAACAGACGCGGCCTCTGCCCTCTGGTTGTTGACAGCCTAGCAGGGGAAGTGACCGTAGTTACACAGCCACACAAATGAGGGTAAGTCTCAGTGGAGGAGAAGAGGCGAGAGCCTGTTAGGGAAGCTCCAACCGGGTTAAGACGGCAGAGAAGGCTTCCTTGAAGAAGCAGTGCTTTTGCTTTTGCTGAGGTCTGAAGGATGCATAGGCTCATGAGGAGAGCGTGTGGTCAAGTACATCCCAGACAGAGAGAGCAGCACATGCCAAGGTCCAGTGGCAGGAAAAGCAGATTGAGGACCAGGGACTGAAGTCAGGCCAACACGGCTGGGGCTTGAGATGGAGAACGAGGCAGTAGAGTAGGGGAGAGGGGTGCAAGCTGAGGTCACAAGGAGGTAGGTCTACCCTGAGCGGGCATCATGCGTCATGTGAAAGGGTGTGGTCTTCATCCAGAGGGCAACAGGAAGTCTCTGGAGGCTCCTAAGCTGGCAAGGACCGTAGACAGGACGTGATGAGATTTGCATCTTGAAAAGATCACACTGGCTTCCATGCTGGGAACCAGCTGGAGGTTGGCCAAGGTGGGGTGGGGCCATGGTGCAGGCCCCGGAGATGGCAGTATGGATAGGGAGGGTCTTGGAGGAGAGTGGACAGTTCTAGTGAGATTTAGAGTTCTTGGAGATGGATTATTTGGATGGGCAGGAGGGAGAGTGGGGATCAAGGATGATTCTGGGGTTTTGGCTTATATGACTGATGCGTGTGGCATCCTTCACTGAGGCAGCTGTGCAGGACTGTGGTCGCTGCCTGCTCCTTACCGTGTACCGTGCTGAGCACTTTCGTCAGTCATCTCCCTTGACCCTCCTAACTGTGACATGAGCCTGCCTGTTACCACCGTCTTCAGGACAAGAAAATGCAGCTCAGAGAAGGCTAGTAACAAGCCCAAGGTTGCATCTAAATGGCAGACGCTGCTCTCCCCTGCCCCAAAGCCTGTGTCCCGTGGGCTACACCCTGAGCCACCCCCTTTCGCCATGCATGTTCTGGGATGGGATGTACATTTGCAAAAGGAATGCATGGAGCATCTGAGTCAGGCCCAGAAGCTAGACTTGGTTTGTTTAACGCTCAGACACGGTTTGAGGCTGCAGGAAGCATGAGAGAGCCAAGCCCGGGAAGCCAGTGCTCACTCACCCGGGGCAATTCCGCTCAATGGAAACCCACTTGGCAGGGAAGCTGGTGGCCACCCCCAGGCCCGGCTGTCCTTGACACGACTGTGCAGTGTTCCCTTTACACTGAGTTGATGTTGTGGCCGGCTCACACTCTCTCTCACTGGCTTTTTTAAATACCACCTGCTTGATTTTCTTTATTGGAACCTGGAACAAAGACCAAGCCCATGAGGGGAAAAGGCTCGTTATTCTCTTCTTGGTTGAGATTTAATAGAACAGCAATTATGTATTATTTGAAGTGGGGCGTGTTATCTTTTTGCTGGCCCGGATTCCCCAGCTGGAGACGCTGGAGCTTGTAAAGACAGACCAAGAGATGGCCGGGACTGACCGGGGGTTCCACTAGTGATGGCTGGTAGCCTGAAAACAGGGCTGCCCGTGGGCCAGGGAGGGTATGCCCTGTCACGTCACCCCCAACTCCCTCCAGAGCCCCACAGGACAAGGGGAGGAGAGAACATTTGGGACATGCCATCCATCCCTCCCCCACCAGGACTGGGAGCTGACCCAACAGCCTTTGACCCTGCCTCTGGAAGGCGACTGGTCCACACGGCTCCTGCCCCCAGGCCAGATGGTTCCGTGTGCTGTGTTCTCTGGGTAGAAGACAGGACACAGCTTTCAGGCACTCTCTCCTAGCTTCTTTCCCTGCTGCCCAACAGCGTAGATGATCAGCCAGTCAGTCAGATGTTATTTATCGAGGGCTTGTGCACGCCCATCCTTCAAACCCTGCTTAAATGTCACTCCTCCAAGGCAGCCAGACATGCCCTTTGGCCTGGCAGGCAGGCCGACCTGGGATTGAGCGTTGGGTGCCTCACCGGGCCCCACCCTCGCAACACAGGGCCGTGCTCCACGCGGTGCTCAGCTCTCCTAAGGTCCAGAAGAGGGGAGCTTCCCAAATCCTGACTGTCGCTACCTAACTGTGGGACTGCGGGCAGCCTTCAACATCTCTGAGCCTCATTTCCTTCACCCGTATGATGGACATCATGACACCCACCTCCTTCACACTGTTTCCAGGGTGGCAGGGGCTGGTGTTCCATAATGGGAGGAACTGGTCTTCTCTCCCGATTCCCAGCAGCATCGTCTGATTCAGCAACCTTGGGAGGGGGTCAGGGCACACTGCGCGCTTGGAGGACGAGCCGTCACTGAACCGTACAAGCATGTAGAAAACACAAGAGGGAAATCTCCCCTCTCTGAGATGGCTCCACTGATTTTCCCACGTGTGCCATCTATACGGGATCATGGGAATGAGCAGGAAAAACAGCCCGCCGGCTTCAGCGCCTCCTCCCTCTCTTCACCCCAGGAAGGAGGGGCCCGTGTGTGTTTCTTTTTTTTTTGCGGTACGCGGGCCTCTCACTGCTGTGGCCTCTCCCGTTGCAGAGCACAGGCTCCGGACGCGCAGGCTCAGCGGCCATGGCTCACGGGCCCAGCCGCTCCGTGGCACGTGGGATCTTCCCGGACTGGGGCTCGAACCCGTGTCCCCTGCATCGGCAGGTGGACTCTCAACCACTGTGCCACCAGGGAAGCCCCCATGTGTGTTTCTTGAGTCCCATCTTATGGGCTTATGGGGGCCCCTGTCCTAGAGGTAGAAGGGTTGGGGTGAGCATTGGAAGGGGTAGCAAGAGGCAGTTCTAGTGGGGAAGGGAGAGTCTCCAGACTGGTGGCTCGGGGCTCCAGGGGGACAGGCTGCTGGCTCCCAGAGAGGCGGCACCCCAGCCTGGCACAGATCCCAAACCCAGGCCTGACACAGAAGTGGCCAGGCCCCTTCCCCCTCTGAGGGACGTGGGAGCTCAGAGGGGGAACAGCACAGCAGTGAGCAGCCCGGCAGCACCCAGGGGACCCTTCCCAGACGTACTGCGCCACCAAAGACCCCAAGCCTGGGACCTTCGCGAGAGCGGGGCCCAAACAGACTGGGATGGACTTTCCTGCCAACCCAGAGGGACAGGAGCTTGGAGCATGTTACAATTTATTTGGAGAAATAAAAGAAAAGTGACATTTCTTATACCTGCGGGTCTGATGGAAGCGAATGCATACCCCCCACGAATGTATCATAGCTTCCCTTCTGCCACGAGCTGATTCCTCACCTCCTGTGGCCCCGCTGCCCAATCAGGCGGTCACAACATGCTCTGAAAAGCCAAGTTGGTGACATTTCCCTCTCCGTGGAGAGGTGTGCTCCTTGCTCAGTTGGCAGCCTGCAGAAAAGGCCAAGCCGCAGATATAGCCTTCCCTCGACAGGAGAGAGGAGAGGAGAGAGCCCCAAGCCCCGCAGGGACCGGGCAGCTTCCACGCAGCGGCAGAAAGATGCATTGATTAGCTGGTGTGACTGTTCTCTGAGGAGGACACGCTGTCCCTGAATCAGACTCTACCTGGGTTAGCCCAGAAGAGGTCTCAGCCCCACCAAGTGCCCCTCTGCCTCCTGGTGCTTTTCATCTGGCTTTTTCCCACCAGGGCTTGTGGCTGTGCATCTCGGGGAAGCAAAATATGTACCGAGAAGTTATATGATCTTCAGCAACTCTGTAGAGGGAGAAACGCTGCAGAGACTAGGTTCTGGTGGCTCACGTGTCCGGGGGCAGTTATATAGCAGCTCTAGAGGCAGACCTGAGTCTGTTACTTACTTGCTGCGTGAACTTGAGCAATTCTCAAACTACTGCCTGTAAAATGGGCCTAATTCTTATATAATAGGGGTCCTGGGATCGTTAAATGAAGGGCCTTGGCATGAAGGAAGTGCCCAAGCGGTCACTGGTATTTGTCACCATATCATCGTCTTACCTTGTCAGGCACACAAGTGAATGTTTTGCATGGTTATATACAAATGTCTGTTTTCTTTGCTCCATGTTCTTTTTTTTTTTTGTTCCTGGTCTTCCCTTCCTTTCACTATTCCATGCTCTTTTTTTTTTTTTATGTTTTCTTTGTTGAAAAACATCATTTCCTGCCCACATTTCCAGGGACCCACACAGTCTGCTGTGTTAAGGCCGTATCGTATTCAGTTGTGTTTGCCTGTATCGGCCTCTGGTATTGGGCGTTTGGGTTGTTTCCAGTTCCTTGCTATTGAAAATGATGCAGCTGTGACTCTCAGCAAGCTTATTTGTTTTTGACGTGATCCCAACAGGTTGTACTTGTGAGGGTGAATTTCTATCACGGAGATCCTTGGATGGGCACACCTATTGTGCCCCAAAGCCAGCTACGGGTCTTAGATGATCTGTATCCTTTGGGTTATCGCCCTTTGGGGCCTGAAGCAAAAGCCATCCCCTCAGAAGGTGCCAGAGGGCTCCTTGTTTTCCCAGCCCCTCAGCTGAGGAGGAAGGAGCTGAGTGTTTACGTTCCCGTGTCCTCTCTCTTGTAGAAAGTCTGCACCAAATGCGGGATCGAGGCCTCCCCCGGCCAGAAGCGGCCCCTGTGGCTGTGTAAGATCTGCAGTGAGCAGAGAGAGGTAGGGTACCCGGGGCAGCGGGGTCTGGGGGGGGGCCTGGGCGGGGCCGGGGCGTGCACGAATTCAGGGAAGTTCATGGTTGGTCACGGAGAGGGGCTTCTCAGAAGGCCAAGGAGGGCCTACCAGGGGCAGCCCGGGACGAGGGTGGGGAGGGTAGCCGGCTGGCTTGCCCGTTCCCCGGTGCAGAGGGGGCAATGGCCCCTGGTTCTGCTCTGCCTGGGGTCCGTGGTTTCAGTGGGGAGCCCCTCGCACTGCGTATAGGTCGCAGGTGGCATTTCATGGGCGTCTATTATTATCGTAACAGAAATGGCTGTCCCGGGTTGAAGGTTTACTCTGCGCGTGGCACCGTGCTGAGTTCTTTACGCGAATGAATTCATGTCATCCTTATGCAGCCCCACAGGCCAGTGCTGTTATTATCCCCTTTTAATGATGGGGAAGTGGAGACGCAGGAGGTTAAGTATCTTGTGGGCACCGAGCTAGTTAGTGGGTCTGACCGTGGTCTAGCCGTGGTCTCCTGTGATGACGCCGCCCCCAAAGTCCCTTCTGGCTCTAAATTTCTATCATCCTACTTCTGATCCCATTTGAAGGGAAGAAATCAAGGCTCAGCAAGGACTCTGAGGCAGTATCAGATGGGGGGCTCGAACCTACGTCTCCCAACCCCAAACCCAGGGCTTTCCTCACTGTGCCAGGATCAGGAATGGGGCTAAAACAGTGGAGGACCTTGTCAGGCAGCTCCTGGGGAAGGCCATGGGCCAGGGATCTCAGGAACAGAAGGGGTCGGGTAGAGGGAAGATGCCCCAGGTTTTCGAGATGTGGATTTATTTTTTTAACTTACCTGCTTGGTGATTAATATGCGTCTTTCATCTGAGGATCCATAAAATGTCTCTAGTTAGAGAAAATCCTCAGCCATGATATCCTTGAATATTGCTGCCCTGCCATTCCAAGTCTCCCCTCCTGGAAACCCTGTGGGATACAGTTCTGAGCCTCTCCATCCATTCTCCACAGCTCCCAACGGTGCTTTCTCATTTTTTTTCTTTACCTTTCTGAGATACTTTCCTCAGTACTGCTTTCCAGCTCGCTAAATCTTTGAGACTCTTTGTTGGTTGTCTCTGTCAGCAACAGCTTTCCTCGGGTGTTTTGGACTTGGGGTTTGTCTGCTCATCTTGAGTGGGAGTCCGTCTCTCTCTCTCTTTCTCTCCTTGCTCATCACCTCCACCCAGCTCTCCTTGCCGAGTGATTTCAAGTTGCCTCCACCCAGGTCCTGGGTCCCCCGGCGCAGGGCCAGCTGTCTTGGGTTAGTGATGAGCTGCATGTTCACAGCGATCATGGGATTATTCCTGGAGCCAGTCGTCAAAGCCATAGGCAGTCTGGCCAGGCCCTGGCTACGTGTGTGCTTCTCCCGGCCTCTATCACTATTCACATTCACAGGTAAGCTTTAGTCTTAGGAGGGTGGGGAAATGGTACCCCTGGTTTTTTCAGCTTCCTGCCTCAGATGGAAAGTGCTTTCACCAGCCCCCATTTCAGGGACTGGTCCCCCACCTCCCGTGGGAGACTTTTAGTCCCTGTACCCTTGGAAAACCAACCTTCCAGCTCCCTCCACCTGCTTCTGGGTTCTGAGTCAGCAGGCTGTGCCTTCAGCCCCTCAAAATAGTAAATATTTGGAGCTTTTGATCCATCGAGATATATATCTTACTTCTGAGAATAGCTGAGCTTCCTTGCTGGAATCTTTTCATGGGTCACTGCCGTGTCTTTGGAACAGGGAAGATAGTAGGCAGGGCCTCCAAGTGTGAACTAACATTCTAGTCTGTCTTGCCCAGAGGTCCCTGATGTCTCATCCTGAAATGGAGACGATAATACCTGTTTCATGGAGATACCTTGAAAATTCAGCAACATCATTACAGTAGACAAAGTGTCCAGCCTAGAATAGGCGCTCCATCAATATTAGAAGCCTGCCTCTCTTACCCAGCTGGAACTTCCCCCTCTGAACTTGAGGTCCTTCTGGGCTTCAAGGGGTCCCTTCTAAGATGCAGGCATCCACGAGAGAGGAAAATTCCCTAAAATACTATCTTGTAGGAGATTCCTGAGCAGGATGGCAAGACGCGGCTGAGCTGTGGGGAGGATGGAGATGAAGGAATTGTCAAAGAAAAGGAGGGCGATGAGAGGAAATACAAAGTTAGCAAATGTCGGGCTTCCCTGGTGGCGCAGTGGTTGAGAGTCCGCCTGCCGATGCAGGGGACACGGGTTCGTGCCCCGGTCCGGGAAGATCCCACATGCCGCTGAGCGGCTGGGCCCGTGAGCCATGGCCGCTGAGCCTGCGCGTCCGGAGCCTGTGCTCCGCAACAGGAGAGGCCACAACAGTGAGAGGCCCGCGTACCACAAAAAAAAAAAAAAATTTAGCAGATGTAATAATTTAGTGGAGGGCTTGGGTGGGGGTCAGCTGGCCCCATCCAGCCCCACCGTGAGTTACCCTCACGCTCATTAATAGCCCTGAGCTACGGCAGGCAGCGTCCATCACCAGCCCGTCCTAATCTCCGAGCGCTCCGATGCCCAGAAAAGTCTGAAATAGCTTAGGACGAATTTTCTTATCTTTCCTTAAGTAAAGGATGTGAGGCTGTGCACTATGCGATCGGTTTGTCCTTGAATTTCTAGAGGCTGATAAAACTGGGCAAGATCAAGGATGCTGTATTCCCTCTGCAGGACCAGGCAGACTGTGGACGCTTAGGAGGTGTGGACGGGCCCTGAAAGTATGTGTGTCTGTCTGGGTGCCTGTGGATACCATACCCAAGCGCTGCATTTTCCTGCCTGCTTTTGGGGTGGGAGAGTGCCAGGGAAATTGGTTTCCTAATGCCTTTTTTTTTTTTTTCCCCGTAGAAAAATATCTAATCGCAACAAAGAGATAGCTAAATAGAGCGTTTGAAGTGTCATTTTAAGTGCCACATAGAGCTGGTTCTGAGTCTGTGATAAAAATGTGGAGTTCTGTCGTGCAGCAAAAACCAGGTCCTGATGGAAGATCTTGCCTTTTCTGATGGAAACTCTCATATTACTGTGCCCAAACACGCTTATCTCTTTTTCCATTTGACTCTTCTCTGCTGTCATCTTTGGCTGTAATTATAAGTCTTTTTTTCTGGAGTGAGTCGAATGTTGGTTACACGTCCCTGGGACCATCAGGTTGGCATTGCTGCCTGTTTTGTGCACTTCGGTGACGCAGTCGTGTCCGCTTCAGCCCCTCTGCTCTTGAGGAGCTTACAGTCTCACGCATTTAGTTGTTCGGGCATTCAATGCTTATTTACTGGGCATCTTCTATGCACCAGGCAAAAGAACTCTTCTCATGGGAGATGGAGACCACAAACGCAATAAAGGAAGTTCTGCCATGTCACAGATGGTGAAAAAGTACTTGGTAAAGGGGACGGGGTGATGGGAACATAGGGGTAGCTGCTGTTTTATACAGGGGTCAGGAAAGGGCTCACTGATAAAATGTCATTTGAGCTGAGGTGTGGAACACACTATGTGGCTGCGTGGACAGAAAGCGTTCCAAGTAAAGGGCACTGCAAGTGTAAAGGCCCTGAGGCAGGTGTGTCCTTAGTAGGTTTGAGGAACAGCAAGTAGAACAGTGTGACTGGAGCAAAGTCAGGTTCAGGAGAGGAGGTCAGAGACGTGGCCGGGGGTCGATCATGTTGGTCCTTGTAGATCCTTGGAAGGACTTTGACTTTTACTCTGAGTGAAATGGGGAGCCCTCGAAGGTCTGAAGTAGAGGAGAAGTGTGACCTGAATCCTCCCCCAATTTTTTTTTTTAAGTTCTCTTTTATTATCAATTAGAAGGTCTTTAGGATTCCCTGGCGTGTTTTTTTGTGTTTTTTTTGTTTGTTTTTTTGTGCGAGGGCTTTCTCTAATTGTGGCAAGCGGAGGCCACTCTTCATCGCGATGCGCGGGCCTCTCACTATCGCGGCCTCTCTTGTTGCGGAGCACAGGCTTCAGACATGCAGGCTCAGTAGTTGTGGCTCACGGGCCCAGTTGCTCCGTGGTATGTGGGATCTTCCCAGACCAGGGCTCGAACCCGTGTCCCCTGCATCGGCAGGCGGACTCTCAACCACTGCGCCACCAGGGAAGTCCCCCCCCCAATTTTTAAAGGATATTCTGGCTACTGTGTTGAGTATAAATTATAGACTATAATGTCAGAGTTAGTACCATGATATTTCGTCTTTCTTATTTAATATTACCCCAGATATTTAAGTTCTTGACTGTTGTTACCCGCAGAAGTTTTCATTTTTTTAAATATTTTATACATTTAACTCTTTTCTGATTATAAAATTAATATGGATCATTGACATTCACAATGTATAGAAAGCATAAAGAAATATACACCCTCCCAAAATCCATGATCTTACCATCCACAGACAATCACTGTTAACATTTTGGCATAATTACTTTCTATCTTTTTTCTGTGTCTTTTTTCTTTATATTGTTGAACCTCTGTTTTAAAATTAACATTTTGTCGTAAGCAGTTCTCAGTGTAATCAATAACTCTTTGTAAACATTCTGTCATATGGATATTCTGCTCATTTAAGCCATCTGAGTTATTTCCTTTTTTCCTTCTCATTGCTAATTGCTTTATATATCTGTGTACATAGCTCCTTGCCTACATTTGAGATTATGTCCTCAGAATGGATACTTAGAAGGGAAAACTAAACACGAGTGTTTATAGACCCTCATTACCTATACACCCTTGAGTTATTGCTTTTGACTTATAATTAACTGGCTATGTGATCTATGTGGACAGTGTATTTTCTGAGTCTTTTGCTATCTGGTAATAGCTGTTGCCTTTATACAAAAAAAGACAGTGACTTGACTAATAATGCAATTGATCATCATCTTTCCCACTCAAAATTCTGTGAGTTTGGCTTCTGTTGTCTAACCGACCACACGTGAAAAGAACCACCATGAGGGAGAGTAGGCAAATGTAACAACTAGGAGAATCAGTGCCCAGGGAACTAGAGATAATA